AATTGTGTAATGAGTAATGGTAGCATTCGATCAGGTTAATTGTGTAATGCCAGTAATGGTAGCATTCGATCAGGTTAATTGTGTAATGCCAGTAATGGTAGCATTCGATCAGGTTAATTGTGTAATGTTGGCTGTGTAATGCCAGTAATGGTAGCATTTGATCAGGTCGGTTGTGTAATGTCAGTAATGGTAGCATTTGATCAGGTTAATTGTGTAATGTCAGTAATGGTAGCATTTGATCAGGTTGGTTGTGTAATGTCAGTAATGGTAGCATTTGATCAGGTTGGTTGTGTAATGCCAGTAATGGTAGCAGGGTTCTCACTAGTGAAGGGTCCCATAAGTAGAATTTAATAAACTCAAAAAAAAGGAAAGAAAGCACTTCAGTGTCAATAAAAAACATTCTTCAAAATGTACATTACATGTTTACCTTCTCAAGTTCATGAAAAAACTTTATCTACAATTTAAATTGCATGTTTTTTTTTTCTCTTTGAGTGCAAAGTAATTTTCATGATAAGATTAAAAATACTTTTCTTCGTCTGAAAACTTTCAAATGTCAGTTCCATAACCCTAAATATATAACAAACGTTTTTTTCCAGAAAACCTTTATATTTGATCTGTTATTTTTGTTACCCTTAACTTGACCGACCTTGTAACCACCATAAAAAATTAGGAAATAATTGTAAGCGTTTTTGTTTTATTGCCCTTTGAACTATGTCTAACTACTATCAGCACAATATAAATTGCAAATCACGTGGCAAACGTGCAGCTCATATTATATAGTATCGAATTACAAAGCATACAAATTACTCGCAAGTTTACCTCATAAAAATTAATAATAATAATATTTAATTTACTTTATCTAACTTAAAAAGTTTTAAATTTTTAGTTACTTTTATAATCACAAATAAAGAATACGCATGAAAAACAAGAAATAAATTAGTTACCTGGGTATTTTTTTATGCTCTTGACTCTCAGTGAAACTTAACCCTACTTTTTTTAAACTAATTGTACTGCTGCATTAAATAATTTCTATTTAATTAAATAATCCACCAAAGAACACAGAATAATAACATGGAAAAAGGAAACAATGTTCCATAACTATCGAAATTTTTCTGGCTTTCTAACTGTGCGACAAAAGACGTTAAAAATTCAGCTAAACTCATTGATGTGTTTCCCGTGAGAATAAAGTTTGAACTGGAACGAAAATAGACAGTTCTCTGTACAGACAACAACATAATACAATATGTCATTTGATAGAAGAAAACTTTGACTTTTTATTGGTTATAAATAAATCTAGTCTTAAATCTCAGAAAATACTATTGGCAAGTTCTGGAAGAGAGGATGTTTAAGATTGAAGGCTATGTAAATTATGCTTTGCTTGAGCGATGATATTATGAGTAACTTATATTAAATTTTGTACAAATGTCACAGTTCTCATACTAAGGGAGATTAAGATTTTTTTAAAAAATATTTCCTTATAGAATTAATAAAAAACTTAAATAATACTAAACTTTTATTTATTATCTACGTTCTGATGCCAAGTTTATTCATATACATTGATAATAAAGTAGTTTAATTAAATTTTTGTATGTAACTTTGTGAAAGGTTGTGACATGCACACTTTGACATACCCGATGTGAAAGGGTTAATCATGTGGTACTTTCACGTGGCTTTATTGTCATGCAATTTATTGTAATTGATGAAACCTGTTAGAAGTTGATTGTGAACAGCTGTGTGCAAACTGTATACTGTTTAGTTTTGTTATGGTACAAGGTATCCAAAGTACTTGTGTCTGCCTTGCGTATGGTTTTGCGGTACATATTCGGGGGTTAATTAGAACCCTGAATGGTAGCATTTGATCAGATTGGTTGTGTAATTTTGGTGATGGAACTGTTACAAATGTAATATTTATTATGTGGTTTATGTTTTAACGATATGTATATAAATTGATAAAGGAACTGCTACAAATGTAACACTTATTGTATAGTTTCTGTTGTAACATTGTGCTTACATTTTTTTCTTTGTTGTGCAATAGTAATGAGCTTTTACTTCTGAGTGTAACGACCACGTTGCAGAGGTTATTAGAGAATGTAACACTTATTGTATAGTTTCTGTTGTAACATTGTGCTTACATTTTTTTCTTTGTTGTGCAATAGTAATGAGCTTTTACTTCTGAGTGTAACGACCACGTTGCAGAGGTTATTAGAAAACCTGGCAGCCTTCCTCAGCTCCTACTTGCCAGTTATCATAAATCAGGTTAGTTAGTTACATGTTCATGTTTTTAAACGGTTCTGTGTGTACTTTAACAGATCAGTTGTGTCTCAAATGTCCAGAAAGAAAGTGTTAAGAACTGAAAAAAATAAATGTATCATACGTTTGTTTACATCTATAAAATCAAACTGAAAACCATTTAGAAATGATCAGTAAAAATAAAAATTTTCAATGTGAAAGTAATTAACTATCATCAGAGAGTCACTTGGTTTGCTGGCACTACAGAAATATTTTTAGGAAACATTTCAAGTTTTTTAGAGTGTTTACTTTTGTGAAGAATACAATTTTTTTGTGTATTAACTTGGACAAATCAGATATCAGTTCGAGCACATTCAAAGTTCAACCTCCCAGAAATAAATCTTCGGGTGGACTTTCCAAAATGGATTCTTAAAAAGTTCAGAATGTTTATCAAACGGGATGCACCAATATATCATGAAACAGTTTTGCTTCGCTATACGACAAGGCTACCACAGTATATAAACTTAAGAATCCCTTTTTTAACTTTTGTATAAATTGTTACAATGTTCCCGTTGCTCTAAATAATACGTAACACTACAACATAAGAACTGCCTTTCTCTGTAATTGTAACGTACCTTAACCTGTAGGCTAACTCAACTCTTTTCTCATAACACTTGTTTAATCTCTCTTCCTGATGTTGCAGGTCTGTATTTTGTCAGCCGGTCATCCTGACAGTGAGGGACAAAAAACACCCCTTCAACAAAGGTTAAAAGTTGTACGCCATCATCTAGCCACTTCACTAGCTTCAAGAGTGTTAGTACCTACAATAGAGAAATGTTATCTTTTCTTCATTGAAACGAAACAGGTAAGTTACATTGTTGTTGTTGTTTTTTCTGGAACGAAACATACACCATCTGTATATGTTCTCCATGTTTTCAGTTCCTATTGTTTAAAGAATAGAAATGGAAACATAGCTGCTGGAAAGGTTTTACATTTTAGGTACTCATTTATCTGTAATACTTTTCTTTATCAGATAATTGAAATATATAATTTTTTTACTTCATATACTATGTGTAAAACCTGGTTCATACTTCGTTCAAATTAAACGGCAAGAAACAACAACAAAAACTCACTATTTTAGTACATTAAAATATGTTTTAGGTTCTTGTCACGATAACATGAAGAATTTTCAATCATTTTTAAAATAGCTCATCTAAATTATAAGGCACTTGAGAAAAATAAGAGAAAACATAATATATTCTTATAAATAGGACAAGGGAATTGGCCAACTGATGTCCATCTTCAGTGAACACTTAACTGCGATGAGTAAAGAAGACCTAAATGCACATATACTACAGATGCAGAATTTTTTTGTGGGGTCTCTGAACTATCGTAGTGAACATTATAAGGTGAGTTAGTACTGAAAGGAGATGGCTGAACTCACTAATGTAAGTTATATTGATGAAGATGGCTAAACTCACTAATGTAAGTTATATTGATGAAGATGGCTAAACTCACTAATGTAAGTTATATTGATGAAGATGGATAACTCACTAATGTAAGTTATATTGATGAAGATGGCTAACTCACTAATGTAAGGTAAAAATGGGATATTAAACCTTAAAACAGCATACAAATAAAAATGGGATACTACACCTTAAAGAAAACTGGACGGAAAGTGGTTTCAGAGAGCTTGAGAACAAATTTCAAAAAACAGTCAATCACGTGACCTTCCACTTCCGATACATCAGCAAGTGGATCCTACAAAAACAAACTTTTAATAAATTAACTGGATTAACTTATCTCTTAAAAATGAAATAAACCAACATTGTCTTGTAATAAACATGTCTCACTGCTGAACATGATTCTTCTTCATTCCTGCATTTAATTTTGATTGGATGAAAATTATCTGCCATGTAATAATTACTGATGTTGCTTACGTTAGTGAGTTTAACCATCTTCATCAATATAAAATCTTTAGCGAAGGTACTTACATTAGTGAGTTCAGCCATCTTTATCAATATAACATCTTATTTAGTGATGTTGTTTGTATGTTGTTTTAAGGTGTAGTATCCCATTTCTGTTTGTATGTTGTTTTAAGGTGTAGTATCCCATTTCTGTTTGTATGTTGTTTTAAGGTGTAGTATCCCATTTCTGTTTGTATGTTGTTTTAAGGTGTAGTATCCCATTTCTGTTTGTATGTTGTTTTAAGGTGTAGTATCCCATTTCTGTTTGTATGTTGTTTTA